ATTAATATAAATGTATTAAAAAGAAAGATTTCATAATCTTAATAATATTTAATAATTACATATATAATTATACTGTATTATATACTACATAATAATTGAGCATTTTATTATTTTCTATTTTTACTTACAAAAAAAGACTAATATAAAATAATATATATTATAAGTAAATATTATATAAAATGTAATCAGATTAATTATGATTTAAATATTTGAACAATGTACAATTGAAATACAATTTATTATGAAATATAAAATACGAAATGAAATATTTGGAAATCATATTATTTTTTTATAAAAATAAAAAATAGCACTTATAAATAACTATAATATAAAACTTCAAAGAGATCAATGAGAAATATTAAATATTAAAAAGATATTATATTTTTATTTCGTATATTAAATATCTATGAAAATAATATAATATCGCAAAATTTTATCCTAGATTGAAGTGTCAAAATTAAGTTTCAATATTGTTAAATTAATTAAACGTATATGCAATTTGTATAAACTTAGAAGACCAACTATAAAAGATCAACTTTTAACAATAATTAAATAAAACTCACTGTAGCATACACGTTAATCCCATTCTTCTGGATATTCCATGTAAATCTACTGCACGAATGTTCGCTTAATCGTTATCTTGGTGTCCATTTTGTTTGGTTAATTACTGAAGAGGCGTCAGTGCTGCCGTCGATTACGTTGACACAACATAATGGTTCTTCCGTGATTGGAGCACAGTATATATCAAAAATTGCAATTTTTTTAGATAGTTTTACAAATAATCATATAAATTTAAATTTTACAGCATCACTATGATAAATTAAAATAAAATTTAAATTGTTTTAATACTAATATATATTTCTATTTGTAATATTTCACATATTGACCGCTCCATCTTTTCAACGATAACCCAATTTCGTAAACGAATAGACAAGAAACGAAACGCTTTCTGCTTATAAACACACCGATGGTGTCGACACTTTACTCTGAGATATATCAAATTTATAAATTATATGAAGCTATAATTTGATAAATTTGATTCATTTTTCAAAATTATAATATAATTTTATAATAAAAAAATTATATTATTTTTTAAAACATTCTAAATTTGTATTAAAATATATCTAAAATTTATTTGTAATATTTCTATTTCTTATCAAACTTCTCCATTATAATACAATAATATGATTTTTAATTATAATACATACAATATATATGATATATATATTGCATAATATAATATGTAATAATTTTATTTGTTTTTTTATATTAAGAATCAAGTTTTGTAATAAATTTAGAATATATATATTTTTAATGTTTTATAAATACATATTTTCATATTTAAATTTGAATAATATTTTAACTTCTTATATTTTTCTTATATTTTCTAATAATTTTAATTATTTTTAATAGCGTAAAATATATTAGGAAAATAAAATTGTTAAACATAGAAATTAGACTTTATGTATATAAAATTATATTTAAAATTATATGAGTTTCCAATCTATAACTTTATATAAATTTATGTTGTACATGTAGCTTTGATAGTGTTATGTTTAAGTAATTTTTAAAGGTGTATTTTTCAACGAGAAAGTTCATCATAATCTTAAAGTGAACAATTAATAAACTGAAATTTTAATATTTAAATTATTATAAATTTGCAATATATAAAAAAAAATAGTTTTATACAGTGATTGTGTTAGAAATAATTTAAATTTATTTGATGAAAAACGAATTTTGATATGTACGTATTTTACAGAAATTTATATTACTATATAAATTATTTATTATATTTGTATATAATTTATTTATTATATTTAAAAGTGTATAAATACTTTTAAATAAATAATAAATAACAGTGTATAAATAAATGTATAAAGTTTTAATGAAATAAAAAATTATTTCTATTTTATATTACTTTTGTTTAGTCTTCATATTTTTTTTTAATATAGAAATAAATATGTATTATGCAATATTATTATTATTTATTTAAGAAAAAATTTATTTTTATTTCTAGAAACATGTCCAGCACATCACAAAAACATAAAAACTTTGTGGCTGAACCAATGGGTGATAAACCTGTTACAGATCTTGCTGGAGTTGGAGAAGTTTTAGGACGTAGATTAGAAGCAGCTGGTTTTGATAAAGTAATACATTTTTATTTAATAATATAATTTAATATAATTTATATTTTACTAATATTTTTTTTTATTTATTATTTTCATTCATTACTTATTATGAAATAAATGTAAAATTTATATAAATTTTTGAGAATAAATTATTGAAAATATATAAAGATGATAGAACTAATATAATTTATTTAATCAATATTGAACAACTAGTATTTTTTGTATAAATAAAATAATAAGAAATTATAAAATCCATTCATATTTATATTAAACATAGAAATTGATATATTAATATTTATTATTTATAGGCATATGTTGTTCTTGGGCAATACTTGGTTTTAAAAAAGAATAGAGAATTATTTCAAGAATGGATGAAGGATGCATGTTCTGCCAATGCAAAACAGTCTAGTGATTGTTATCAGTGCCTCTCTGATTGGTGTGAAGAATTTTTGTAAAATAATTAAAATTTAATGTTAATATTATACAAAAATGAAACTTTTAATATAGCAAAGTATTTACTGTAATATTTTAATGTAAAATGTGAAAACTATTTCACTTTCGTGAATTTAAGATAATATTTTAGATAATTTCTAATATAATGAAAGCAATCTTAAAAGGTATTTTAAAGTTCAATATAAAAAAAATATAACATGATATATCAGTTTATAATTTTATTTAACATTAGGTTATATTAACTGGTTAAACATTTTATTTTATGCATCAGTCTTGCATTAATAATAATTTTTCATTATATTATATTTATTTTCTAATATCCATATATTTTCTGAAATTACATTCTATATTTTTATGTATAAAACTAAATGTCAATTCCGAATTTTTTATTTATAATACTAATGAAATTTTTATAATTCTTGTATAAAATTATAAGAAGTAAATAAGGAATTTAATTTTAAAATATATTTTTGGATGTATATCTAATATCTAATATTTTAATATATCACAAATATATAATATATTAAATATTAAATTTAATAATATGTTACATCTAATAAGATGAATCTATTGTATCTTAATTAAAAGTAAGTGTTTATTGTATTTTTTGTAATATTTTGTAACTTTTATATGCTGCTAATAAATGAGTAATGTTAAATTTATCATTGATTTTATAATGACAAATTTAAAAATTTAAATGATAAATTTAAATAATTACATTTTTAATAATATATATATATGTTTGATTGTGATTGTAAGGTTAGGTAATACAAAATATACTTCAAAAAACGCTATATTATTTTTATTAAATAATTTTAAATTATCATGTCAGGTATTTTGTTACAATGTATAAATCATTTTAAAAATCATTTAAAATTTAAAATATTTATTGAAAACCAAAAAATGACAAACTTTTTTATTCAACAATATAGCAAAACATTTAACATGATAATAAGGTTAGTTTTTCAAATTTATTATATTTTTATTAATATAATTTATAAACAGTTATACATTAATAGGAATATGATATTTATTTCACAAATTGAAGAAAATGAAAAAAAAAATTTGATAAGTCATAAATTTAAAAATATATATAAACAAGTAGAAGTAAACAATTGTATACCAAAAAAAGAAATGATAAGTATTATAGATCTTATAGATTCATCAAGTAAGTCATTATATATATAATATTATAATATTGATATATAATATTGATATATAGAAAAATATTTTTGTTGTTTATTATAGATGTCATAGATACAAATAAATTACTTTTATTACTTTATTGGTGTAATAATGTAACTTGTTTACCAATAGACAGAATAAAACTTGCAGAATCTTTATGGATAATTTTAACTGTATGCAGTATGTTTTCAATATATTATTAATAATTTTATAAAATTAATGTAATATTAAAATATGTAATATTATTATATATAAGAAATATGTAATATAAGATAAAAATAAAATTTAATATATTTTTTTATATTGGATTCAAAGATTTCAAGATATCAATAGTCCATTATAATATACTTTTAAAATTATATATAGAAAATGAACATAATTTCTCAATTATAAACTTATTAGAGGACATGAAATATAAAAAAATTTATCCAAATGAGAATACATATGAAATATGTATTAAATATTATTGTATGAAAGGAAATATTAATAAAACACTAATGCTTCTACATGATATGAGAAAGTTAAAGTTTTCTATATCAAAATCTATTTTTGATTTATTAATGTTAGGATATTCTCAATCTGGGTAAATATATATACATTTAATTAATTAAATAAATATTGTTTTTTATATATATCAATATAATATTTTTTTAAATAAACATTTAAATTTACATATTTATTATAATTAATATTAATATTATAATATTAATATTTTTCAGAGATATAAAAAATGTAAATAATATTCTAAATATGATGAAAAAATATAAATTAATTGTAACTAATGAAACATATGCTATTATTATGTATACTTATGCTAAATTAAATAATATTGTTAAAATAAAAGAAATAATTAAAGATTGTAATTTAAATAATATATATTTTAATAATATAAATATTTTGGAAATAATTTATATATTAGCAAAAAATAATCATACTGAAGATATTGATACTGTAAGAATTTAATGAATTATATAGTAAATTATTATTAATGTATCACAATGATTTAATAATTTAATCATTTTTATTAGATGCATAAGTATTTAAGAAAAAATAAGATCATTTCAAATAATGAAATAGAAATCATATTAAAAATAATAAATATTAACTACATGAATATAGCTATAAAAGCACTTTCAAATATAGGTTTAAATAATGAGCATCCTCAATTTGAAAATATTCTGAGATTAATTTTAAAACATATAATTAATACTAAAATGGTAAAAAGAATATGCACATATATATGAATATATATATATTTTTTATATTTTATTTTTTATTAAACATATTTAAATATATTTATTATTATAGCTAATTAAAGATATTATTTTGTTTTGTAATTTTACGGGAAATAAAGAGATATCCAAAAAATATTTTTTAATATCATTATATTATTCATTAAAGAAAAATGACAATTTGTCTCTTCTTTTGCTCAAAATATGTAAAGAACATTGTTTATTACGCCCACATTACTTTTGGCCACTTTTAATTAGGCAAGCAAATAAATATAATGTACAAGGTATATATTTTATATTTAAATATATGAAATATTTTATTATTATATATTATACATTTACATATAATATGAATAAAAATATTTTTTTTTTTTAATAAAAATATATTTTTAGGTATTTTAAATATTCTTTATATTATGAACAATGATTTTAATATATCGCCTTGTATTGATACAATTACTGATTATGTTTTACCATTTATATATGGAGAAGTAATCTATATAAGAAAACTATTAATGAAACATAAAATAAGTGAAACCATAATTAATAATTCTTATGTATTATTTTTATTGAAAAAGAGAAAAATAGCAGAAGCTACTAGATATAGTGAGTGAAAAATTTAACAAATATGTATATACGAACAATATATATATTTAACAATATATATAATTTTTTATTATAGTGCAATGTTTTGAAGGTGAATATTTTTATAAAATAATTGCTCCTGATCTTAGATTTTCTGCAATTTTTAAAAATGATGTATTAAATTTTTTATATATTAGTTGTAATGTAGTGGAAAATATAAATTCAAATTCAACACTTATATTAAACAATAAATCAGCTTACACAATATTTGTATCTATGGATAAGCAATTACATGAATTTATGATTGATTTTCCATCTCAAAAAATATGGATGATAAAGGTATAAAATTAAAATTCAATATAGAATTTTCAATATATATATATATATATATATATATATAATA